CGGCCATTGTGGTGCCGTTAACAATGGATGCTAATGAGAAATCTTTTGTTAAATGGCACCAACGTGGCCGCGATGAAGTAACGTTCAATAGTCCTCTTCACAGTTCCCTGCGCCGTCTTGAAAGGTAGCCGTGCCTTTGCATTGWAGCGAGACGAATGGTGAGCATGCACTCATCAGCGAYTTCGRTATTCTTGGGGGTGGATGTGACGTCATAGCCACCTGRTTTTTACCGCACGAAAAAGTTGGCAAAATTCTCGTGTCCACTCACTCTCGAAGTTTCAGTACCGCGTTCGAGGAGCCTGAAAAATTGTATAGACTTACGTCATCGGGGTGATACCCAATTTTTTTGTGGGTCAAGAGTGCTGTTTTTAAAAGTTTTAAGAGAGAAAAAATGCCGAAATATTGATTGTACGATTGATTGAAATTATTGTGCGATTGAATTCAACGTGGAAGAATGCGCAAGTCTTTCACTTTTGGAACGTATCACCGCGATGACGTAATCGCACCAGTCCCCGCACGCGCGGTCCTTATATGAAAAGGCACGTTTTCAAAACTCATTTAAAAATCAGGAATGCATCCAATTTCAAAAAAAAAATTGGATTTTCGCATTTTCATGAATATATCTTCAACTTACATAAGGTCTGTGATTAAGCATTAGGGGCACTTTAACGTTTGTTTTACTTTTTTTTTATTTTGGCAACGAAGCTGATCCCGCCATCTTTCATTTGACATTTACCTGTCTTCGTTCTCGAAAATCAAATTTGAGAAATTTCAMGCTTGTTGTTATCCATCGATGAAATTCTGTGTTGAAATTCTTCATTTTTTCTTCTTCAGAGGGACTACGTGCCTTCGTTGCTTGGAATGGCCACAGCCTACATGTACTTAAARCAAACCCCAAGAGCAAGAAACCAGCTTAAAAGAATCGCTAAAATGAACTGGACCTCCGAGGTATCCTAATGGTTTTACTTTTACTGATACCCATATGAAAGGGGCGCTTTCCATTTACCTGGAAAAACCGGAAATTCCGGTTGGAAAAACAAATGGTATGCGTCATTCCGATCGGAAAGTTCAGGGGAAAACTCGGTCTTCCGATTGAGGTAATCACTTTTCCCGCTCTTTCGGTTCATCCGGTAGACGCGTGTACCATTGGTCGGAAGTCAAATTTTCCCGCTCTTTTCTTACCAAGAGCAAACAAATATCCAACCGGTTGGATTGGTTTAACTGGTAAACACCCCAGCTGTTATCATCTTTTACAGTTAAAAACTAACCCAAAGTTTCAATTTTTTGTGTGTGTGTATAGGAGGCTGAAGAGTTTGAGAAGAGCTGGCTTCTACTTGCTGACATATACATCCAGGTAAAATTCAGTCTTGAAAAGATCTAAACGAAAGACTACAGCCCTTGAGAAGAATTCATACGACTCTCCTTAGTCACTGTTTTTTCCCTTAGTTACTGTTGCTATGTCCCACAAGCTTAAGAAACTATTACAGCCCTTGAGAAGAATTCGTACGACTCACCTTAGTCACTGTTTTTTCTCTTAGTTACTGTTGCTATGTCCCACAAACTTAATAAATTATGATGGTGATTGGTTCCCTATTGTCTGAGTCGGAACTATGAATAATGAGAAGGCTGCCACAGGTAACCCAGCTGACCTTCTGTTTTTCTTTTAGTCTGGGAAGTACGACATGGCAAGTGATTTGTTGAAGAAATGTCTACAGTATAACAAGGTAGATAAAATATCATGGTATTTCTTTACGGCGTTAACGGCGAGATTATTTCTAAACACGATGTGTCTACAAATCTCGTACCCAGAGCTCTCGTTCTTCGCCGCAGGCCAGAAGAAACGCAGGCTCTGGGTACGAGATTGCGAATTTCCAGCCAAACATCCGAGCAACGTGGTGCGTTTTCATTCGTGTCCCCAGTGTAAGCTTGATAGCATTGGTATTGTTGTTGCTCATCATCATTCACACCAATCAAAGTTCAAATGTATCTTCTTTGTAGTCGTGTTGTAAAGCATGGGAGTACATGGGTTTCATAATGGAGAAAGAACAAGCCTACAAGGATGCTGCTAAGAATTATGAGAACGCTTGGAAAAACGGCAACAAGAATAATCCCACCATAGGTAAGAATAAGTATCGTTCTCTACGCTCACTCGTGAAATATTTTCACCACTCAAAGATAATCATCATGGCCCGGTTGCACGAAGCCTGAATAGCGCCATCCAACGGATCAATCATTATCCATTGGATAATTCGATGCTTTCATCCAATAAATTTGTCCACTGGATAAGTGGACCCAATCGTAACCCTATCCAAGACAAAAATGATACCCTATCCCAGACAAAATGTCAAA